AAGGCTAGCACTCTACCACTTGAGCCACAGCACCACTTCTGGCTTTTTTCTTTTTGCTTATGTGGTGCTGAGGAATCGAACCCAGGGCCTCAAGCATGCAAGACAAGCGCTCAACCACTGAGCCACCTTCCCAGCCCCGACTTTGTGCTTTTGTTTGGCTTTTTCATTCAATGCTGGCACTGTACTATTTGAGCCACACCTCCACTTCCACCTTTTTGGTAATTACCCGGAGATAAAACTCTTGGATTTGTCTTCCATAGGCTGGCATCACACTGTGAATCTCAGATCAGCCTCCAGAATAGCTAGATTTACAGGAGTGAGCCATCAGTGCCAGGCCTACGAACTCCTTTTACACATGAAATGAAGCTACCTTTCCTTCTGCCACTTAATTGGGTCCTGGGAATCGACTAGGGCCACCTTGGGTCTAAAGTACAGAACTCCCCATTTGTTTCATTTGATAATAAAATAAGGCCAACCGGGGTTTGGGATTGAATGGGTGGAGAGATCAGGAGGGTTGCTAAGTGTCCAATTATGCACATGAGATCGCCCAACACACATTTCCCAACCCTCACTGTCACTTCTATAGGAGGCTGAAAGATTGTCCACCGCCTGCCTTGGTGTCCTCCACCTTTGTAGGGTGGCCATGTCTGAGATGTGTCATCGGAGAACATCAAGCCAGAAAGGCACTGTGTCTAGGGAGGCCATGGGAGCAGAGCACCGCTTCATGTTTCTTTTTTTAGCAGAAAATTCTACAGGGAGGGAGAGTTGGTGGGAGTTAAAAAAAAATCCATCAGCTCTCATTTTGCCATGTATTTAGAAAAGTAACTTTGCTTCCGCGCAAGAAATTACATGAATTATGTTAAAATCAGTGCTAAGGTAATAAAATTACATGCTCAGGACTCTTCTGCAGAAAACTGTCTTTGTCTGGCAGGGTAATTGGAGCGAGGGAAGACAATCTCCACATCCACCTCACTGTTATACAAAGAGGGAATGGAGGAAATTGTCCCCATCATGTTTCTGCGGCATGGAGCTAGCTACCTTCCCCTCACCCTCTTCTAAATACATCTGCAGATTTCAACACAGAGCAAACTTAGGGGACCGAGGAGCTAGGAGGGGAATGAGGTGGGCTTTCACATAAATGAACATGTTAGGAAGAAATGTCAAATCATCCAATCCATAACAGTGCCCTTAGAATTGGGCAGAGATCCATCCACTAGGATGATGGTTATTTTACAGCCAGCACCCTACTGCTGGTTTGGTTTGTATTGAATTACGTATTTCTTTTTGCCTCCAGTGTGGAGGTAGGGAGGGAAAGGAAAAACAAGGAAAGAAAAAGAAGGAGAGAAAGAAAGGAGACAAAAGACAGAAAGGAAAAGAAAAAAAGAAAGAAAAAAAGAAAAGAAAAGAAAAGAAAGAAAGGGAAAGAAAGAAAAAGTCATCCTTGCTTTAATGCCTGAGGAAACTGAAAAGGTTGGAGAAATGACATCTGTACTTAGAGATTTTATTTCATTTCATTTTTTTTTCCCGAGTGAACACTGGAGTCATTTAGAGGCAGACCAAGGTATGTGATGCATTTGATGCAACAGAAAAAACAGAGACTCTGGAAAAGGAAGACTCATTCTTATCTTCGCCTGTGCACCATGGGATTTGACCTTTTACCACCATGGCTCTAGTGAAGGGGGTATTGAGTTTTCTGAGGGAATAAATACTCGGCAACATCTGGAGACATTTTCTTGTTGCCTTTGGCGAGAAGCATCAGCCGGCGTTGCATTCAGTTGGGTGGAGGCCGAGGACACCACTGAAGGGTTTACAAGGTCCACAACAGCTCCACCCAACAAAGAGAAGACTGAAGTTCCAGACTTTCCAACCGGCGGGGATGGGGACAAGCGCAAGGCATTGTGGGAACACAGGGGACAGGCCCCTTCTCTCCAACCTCTCAGCCCTCGTGGCGCCCCACCCCCGACCTGTGCCACCTCTTGGTCCTTCCTGTATTAAAGATGACGCTCTCTAAAGCTCTCAGTCGTCTGCATGGGTCATTGAAATTGATGAAGCCTCCTCCAATTTCATGTTCTTACTGACTTTTATTTTTTCTTTCTTTCTTTTTTTTGCATTGTACCCACAGAATTCTTCCGTAGGTGCAAATTCAAACCTGCTTCTCTCCTTAAAGCCTGTTCATGCTTCTCCACAGACTTCCTTAATATATATACACACATATACACACACATGTAAATTCCCATGTTTCTAACCTCTACACTAACACCCAACGTGGAAGGTAATGAATTCACTTCCACATGCTTGTCTCTGTACTTGCTGCTGTCTTCCTCATCTTCTGGCCCCAGATTCTCTGTTGCTGCCTGCAAGAAGTCTTCCCTGATTACCATAGTGCCTTGTGCTTGTCCTCCCGCCCCATCCCATCCCAAAGCTTGTAATAATATGGTATTGTGGCCTTTAAAAAGTTTTCAACTCCTTCTTCAACTGGAAGTTATCCTTTTTATCGATATTGCTCTAATTTTTTATGGCTGGATGGTGAGTTTCTGGCTCACTGTTATATTCTCAGTGTCTAGAGAATACCTATGGCCAGCATGTTTGTCGAATGAATGAACCATCAGTACCATCTTTACCCATGGTTGGTTCTGTTAGAAAAGAATTCATTAGATCTGCTTTTTTTCCTACCATAGGACACTTGGTCACCCTCATGCTAAAAGAGAGAGAGGGTTACAGAGAAAAATACAGCCAAGGATCAGGAGGCTCTTTAACCTTGAGCAATGACCTTAAAAATGGCCTTACCTGAAAGCAATTCCTTTTTGCCTTTGTTTTTGTTTTTTTTTTTTTGGCCAGTCCTGGGGCTTAAACTTAGGGCCTAGGCGATGTCCCTGAGCTTCTTTTGCTCAAGGCTAGCACTTTATCACTTGAACTATAGCACCACTTCTGGCTGTTTCTGTGTAGGTGGTACTGAGGAATCGAACCCAGGGCTTCATGCATGCTAGGCAAGTACTCTACCAGGATGACCCCCCTCCCCGCCCCTTGCCTTCAAAATGACTGCTATTTTCTGGAAAATATATTAGTCTGGAAGAATTGGGAACTTTATGAGTTGTCAGTCACTGTGGGGTTTTGGTGTGTGTGTGTGTGTGTGTGTGTGTGTGTGTGTGTGTGAATTCAGGCTGTATTCCATTGTGTGTCTATGTGAATTTCATTCTCTCTGGTATCTGTTCTTTTCAGAGGACAGGAATGGCCTCTGCTTTGTCCTAGATTACCCTGGGCATCTCAAACCTTCTAGGCATTTCAACCTTTCTCTCTGCATCAACATAGAGTACCCCCCCCATTTAGAAATAAGTTAACTGAACATTCTGGAAAGAGACTGAGTAACTGTGTCTAACACAGTGAGTTAGCAACAATGCCAGTACTAAAAAAAAAAAAGAGAGATAGCACAGCTTCATTGGAGACGAATGATAGAAATTGCGATGTCTTTAAATTTAGAAAACAAAGTTAGCTCCTGCCAGACTCGCCAGGCAGTTCTGATGTCCCACTGAAAGCCACTGCTCCCATTCAATTTTGTTCTTAAAGTAGGAAGGCAAAGCTCTGGGGTGTATGTCTCTCCGCCCATGTATCCGTATTTTTTGCCTCTCCTTATACCCATGGCCTAGTTTTCCGTGGGCTCCTTCGCTATCAATGAGTACGTTACACGAGGCTTTGTCCTTGTAAGGTTTTGAAGTTTCTCGGGCATCATGAACAAGGTCTTTGACCCCAGCTGGGTGCTACAGCCTACTTTGGCTCTGTTCTATTTCCTTAAGAAATCTAAAGGATGGTATTGCCGTCTTTCTAAAGTGGAGGCGATAAAGAAAGCCTGCCCTCACACTGAGTCTCCTCCCCTTTCTCAGAGGAAGTGGAGACATTGCTAAAATTGAATTGCATTGTGCAGGGCCTTGCGGTCTTCTAGCCAATAGAGAGCAAGCCGAGCCCTTGGGAAGAAGGTGGGATGACCTGGAGAAGGGAAGGTGTTTGATACCAAGCCTGGGGGGGTGGGGAACAGGTGCCTGTGTTTTACATTGTCATTCTGGGCACTGTTTTTCTGGGGGAAGAGGAATCAGCTTTTGCACGGCTGCCTGGCATAGAGGATGCTGCCCTTGCATGAGATCTCTGTTTACTGTGAGGCTTTCAGAGGGGATTTGGGTTTCTGTTTTCTTTTCTGCACTTCACCATAGCCGTGTGTAAAAGTGATCAGCGATTCTCGGCTACCTACCTGGAAGTTGTCTTTGTCATTTGCTGGTCTGGAGAGGGGCGCAGGGAGAGTTGTACTCGAGAATTTAGAGAGGAGCATGTGGAGCTGGGGGCTTTGGTCTTCAGCAAGTAGAATGAACTCATGTAATCTAATGTCAGAGGATCTGAGGGACCCACTCCAGTCCCCAGATATAATGCCCCCCTCACTTTAGACATCAGAAAATGTCACTGTGTCTGTATGTATCCATCTTCGCTTTCTATAACTTCAAGCCAGGAGGCAGTGCCTAAGCTGGCTGGCTGAACTGGCTTGTGGATCATTTTCTTCTGGCAAGCATTTCCTCTTGTCTTTCCATCTTGGGTGGGGAGTTAGTGTGTGTGTGTGGGGGGGGGGGTAAAGGCCAGATGCTGAAGGATACAGTGAAGTGGTTGCCGCTACTGTGGACCATCGGAAGCTCTTTCAGTCTGCTATTGCGTCCTTTCTTTCCTCACACCAATCTCTCTCTCTCTTTCTCTCTGTCTGTCTCTTTATATCTCCAATATTTGTGTTTTCAGTATGTGGGTTCACATGAGTTTGTACTCCTTCCAACACTTGAAGGTTGTGGGCCATCTGGTGAAGCAAGTAGGGTTCACCCCTGGCTCTTCCTCAGACCAGTTCTTTGACATTATTGGACCATCAGCTTGTTTAAATGAACATGTTAGAGGGGCTGGTGGTGTGGCTCAAGTGGTAGAGCACCTCCCTACCCAGTGCAAGGCCCTGAGCTCAAACCCCACTACCACCACTAAAATAAAACTAGCAATGCATGTAATAATATAGTCTTTCTAGCATTTGTCATTCTTACCCCCACTCCCTCCAAATGATGGTGTGTGTGTGTGTGTGTGAGAGAGAGAGAGAGAAAGACAGAGAGACAGAGAGAGAGACAGAGAGACAGAGACAGAGAGAAGACAAAGAGAGACAGGGAGAGAGAGAGAGAAAGGACAGGGAGACCAACTGAATGAACTCTCTAGGGTACATTGCTCACTTTGAACAATACAATCATATTGGATTATATTCTAAGGTGGATACCCAGGAGACATATAGATAATAATGGGTCCTATGAGTACTGAGGGAGAAGAGAGGAATCTCCCAGGCCGAATTGCAGACAATCCCTAGAGACTCCTACCCAGGATGGGGAAGGGGGAAGCTACTTGCTACTTTTGTATGCTTCTGGTTCAGTGATCTCCTTTGAAGGTCAACAGAAACAAGGAACATTGGAGAATCTGTCACAAGTTACAGCCAACAGGAGCCTCAGGTAGCAGGTAGCAAGACCATAATCCTGAAAATGGCACATCAACAGAATAGACTGTGAACTTTGGTTAATAATGCTATCTTGATATTGGTTCACATATAGTAATGAATGTATGAAAGGAATCCACAACATTAACTACTGGGAGAGGGGCCCGTGGGAACACTTCCTCTGTCTTCTCAGATTTTTCTGTAAATCTACAAGTGTTCTGAAAACTGAAGTCTGTGAAAAAGTTGTTAATCATGAAAATTATGAAATTTACTTCCTGGAATTCTTTCTCCTGGACAAATTTAAGATTCCCTGGAGGGCCTCGTCAGTCTATCAGTGGCAGCTGTAACTCTCCATGTGGGCCCCGTGGTGGTGGCATGGTCCCCACATTGTCATCTGAAGGAACGCACACTAGCTCTGAAAATGGAAACCCAGCTGCATGCTGGAACTCATGTCCACTTACAAAGAAGTGTTTAGATAAAGTAGGGTTTAGCTTCCCTCCTGGAAAAAAAATACATAAGAAAATCAATAGATAATTTCTTCCTCTGCCAATACAGCCTTGTAGCTACCTTGGCCAAATCACTCTTCACATTGGATTTTCATTATTCATCTCCTCTATTCAGCTGCAGACTCCTGAGTAGAAGGGATTTTTCTCATTTATCTGTGTGTTTCCAAGCCTGCATCATCCCATGTCTGTTGAACGAGGACTGTCTGAGTGGATGGTCACTAGGCAGTGTTTAAACATAGGACAGCGGAGCTCACATCCGGTATCACAGCACCTGAGAAGAGCTGGTGTAACAGATTGCATTTTGGAAACATGGTGACAATCATGTCCCTATCCCACACCCTCCTCCTCTTCCTCCTCTTCCCCTCCTCCTCTTCCTTCTCCTCTTCCTCATTCTTCTTCTTTTCCTAATATTGCATTTCTTTTTTTATTTTACATTATTATTTGTTATTAGCATTACTGTTACCACCATTATATAGTTGTAAAAGTGGTTTCAATTCCATAAGCCAAGTTATGAATACAATGTTTTTTGGTCATTGTTACCCTTTCCTTTGTTTTCTCCAGTTTCCCCCCTCCTGTCCCTACTTTCAAGTTCCTTAGTTCATTTTTTATATCATTATTGAATATAATGACTGAATTTGCTCACCCTTCCTCCCACCCTTCTTGTGCTGTCCTCTTTATTGATCCCCCCAAACACATTTCCATTTCCTGGTATTCATTCTGATAAGTAGTACATTTAGTTGTTTGGAGGGTTTATGCCTTTGGATTTCCTCCCTTAAGTAGTCTCTCCTTTATTCAGTGTGTTTGTGTGCATATGCATGCAGCCCTGTATATATTATTGTGCATGTTTATATTTTAGATCTAGCTTCCATCATATGAGAGAAAACATGCACCATTTGTGTCTCCGAGCCTGGCTTACTTCACTTAGTATGGTTTTATTTTCCTTTGAGGTCCATCCATTTCCTTTCAAAGGACATCATGTTCTTTCTGGTGGATGAGTGAAATTCCATTGTGTTCATTTACTGCATTTTCTTCATCTGCTGATCTGTGGTAGGGCATCTGGGCCATTTCCATAAGTTCCATAATGGTTGTCACAAACTCTCCTTTCAGTGGGACCTGCCAGTTCTCCCAGAGTACAAGGAGGTTGATGCTCTGTCCCCTTGAAAGGGGTGATGTCTGGGAGCGCTGGGCCAGTAGATGCGCTGGACTGGAAGCATCTCATTTTATCCTCAGGTAACCCCAGAGCGACATACAGCTCCTCTCAGCCCCGGGCTAATGAGGGAAGAAGCTAGGTGACTCTCTCCAGGCTGTGTCTTTGGGGGTCTACATTTATACTTGGGCTTTCTGGGCCCAGCATCTATGCTCCTTTGTCTTAGATGACCCTTAA